AGGATTCCGCTTGGTCTTAAAGCCTTCCTTCAAACGCCTACGTTCACAAATAACAATGATTTTCGCAAAAAGAATGATTAATTATCAATTGAGAATTTGTTATTATTATGGTCTGGTGAAAAATAATAATATGGGCTGCGAGAAAATAATAAATAAAAAGAGTAGGGCTGCTGTGAGTGCAGGCAGCATATTTCAACCAAGTAGCATGACAACCCTCGCGGCCAAAAAACAGACCGGCCCACCGGGAATCCTCCTGGTGCTCCCGATTAGCCAATCCGGGCCTGCTCACACTAGACACAGTTGCCTTGTACCGAGCCCAATTTTTATAAGTAGCTTAGCCTAGTGTGAGCATACTCTAAAGCAGTGTTTCCCAACCTATCTCTAATTATTGGCGACATCAGAAATGGATATTATATAATAGATGCTTTTTTGAACATTTTAGCAATTTAAAAATATTAAAAAATGATTTTTTACACGGCACCCCTGCTCTCGACAGACGGCACCCCGGTTGGGACACACTGCTCTAAAGCACTACAGTGTTTTAAAAACCCAGAGTATGACCCAAGATGAATCAAATATAAATAAGCCAAACAATGGAGGACATAAATGGCAGAGTAGTCCTGCTATGATCGATATTGTGCAGAAATTACGTAGTGGAGAAAGCTGCTTATTGAACAAACCATATATATACAGGAGTAAAGTGTACACCAGTCACATAGAGCATATATAAACATGATAAAAATAAACTGTGAATGGCTTTGTTTTCCATGCAAATTACCTATAATATGACTGTCACCAAAAAATCTGTCCCCATGTGGCCATAGGAGACATTGTTGCCAATTTGGATTCCTAGTAGCAGGGGAGTGGCTTTAAACACAAAAATGGTTGGGGGTGGGATCTTTTGTAAAACTATAAGATTTCCAGACCATAAAAACTGAATCATTGATTCATTTCACCATTCAGCGTTAACAGATCTTGAGACTTGACAAAATCTCTCACTTTTGAACAGGGTAAGACAATTGCATTTAGGATAATTTGATCAATAGTCTTTTGAAAATTATGATAAGAAAAGTAAAATCTAGGACAACATGATTTCAATTATTATTACCTTGTCAAATAACTCTCATTTTCAAAATATTTATTGACACTCCCTTTTGTGTTTGTGTGTGACAGGAAAAATGAACCAGTTCCACAGATACAAGTAAGATATATATGTGATATATAATAAATGTATAGTGTATATAAATAGTATTTTTAATATTTCTTTAATTGCAAGATGACAGTAATTGTGCTGCATATATACCATTAAAATGTGTTTTTACGTTTTCAATATTTTTGCCTCCCCTTAACTTAGTACCTGCGGTGTGAAGGATGTGCAGTCTATGGAGGCAATTTCTACATCTCTAAATGAGGGAATCGTCTCTATCTATAACATCTGCAAGTCCCTCAAGGAAGCACGTATCAATCCCACCACTGACGCATGCTCCAATTACAACCAAATTAGGGAACATATAAAGCATGCTGAGCAGTGCTTGAAAACATCAGAGAAAATGATTAAAGGAAAACTGGGAGATTTGGATGAAAGCATGTGGCAAATTATTAGAGAGAAACAAAATGTTGAGCAACAGAAAAAAGAGAAAAATCTGGCTTTGGATAATTTATACATAAAGAAGAAGTCTGCTGTGCAATCATTGAAGTATTCCAAAGAGGCTTTGGAACAGGCTGAAAGAAGTGTAGAATCAGCAAATTATGCCATAAGAGTACATCAAGACAGGATGAACACATCCAATGATGTCGCAACTGCAGGGGCAATACTGTGTGCAATACCAATTTTTGGATGGATTGCTGGTAAGAATTTCACAACTCTTACTGTCACCTGAATTGGACATTTGTGAATTGGAAATGTTTGTGTTTTTTGACTGATGTGCATTCAAGAGGTATCTGTTTGTCTCTAGGTCCAATAATGATTAGTGAGGGACAGCAGGGATTTGAAGAATCTTTAAATGCCTTGAGAGCTGCTGAATGGGAAAAACTAAACTCTGAGTCTCAAGTGAGGAACTGCAATGCAAAAGTCTCTCATTATAATGGAATAATCTCTAGGACACACAATGAAATTGAGCAGACCAATGAGGCTCTAAGGAGGATTGAGTGGAAGGTTAAAGAGGTTCAAAAGCATCTAGAGGACACGGGAAATATTCAAAACATGGTCAGGAGAGCTGTGAACCTTCTGAGTGTTCTTAGTGGAAGAGTCAATGTACTGGAGAAGCAAACACAACGTTTTGTCCTCTGGCAGCCTGTGGTGGAGGCCATGCAAGATGTGATAAAGGCAGTAGTAAATATTGCTGAGAATCGGCTCCTCTATAGAGATGGTGCACCAAGCCTTATAAATACTTTGAGGGAGAATGTTAGAGGACTACTGTCTTTATGCAACTCACCCAGTTATTCTGAATATGACAGTTATTACTGATCATCTCCATGTTACTCACACAGCAAAGGCTTATAGAAGAAAAAGATGTATTGGTGTTTTAGAAACCAAGTAACTCTGGAAATTATCTCCATAATGATGTATGACAGTGACTCTTGGAGTTGATTATTTTATCTTCTCTGACAAGACAGAGAAAGTAGAACATTTGGCATGATTTATACAACAGTACTTGCAAATTATGTTTTAGATGCACAAATAAATAAATAAAAAATGCTTTAATCACAATAAAAATGATTACCTAAAATAAATCTTATCCATGTCAACTGCTTTCATGAATCACTGTATTAAAATTATGAAATGATAAAAGTGGAATGCATAAGAATCTTATAATCTTATTCATTTAATCTTAATTAAGGCTAGATTAAAACACACAAAAACACACATACACACACAACTCAGGGTTACAGTAAGGCACTTAAAATGAAAGTGAATGAGGCCAGACGTAATGGCAATGCCATGACAACATAATTCCAATCAAAGTCCACATATCCAACTGGCCAAAAACACAATGCAGGTGCTCAACCACAAAAAATTTTTATAAAAATTCAAACTAGATGCACAAATAAATAAATAAAAAATGCTTTAATCACAATAAAAATGATTACCTAAAATAAATCTTATCCATGTCAACTGCTTTCATGAATCACTGTATTAAAATTATGAAATGATAAAAGTGGAATGCATAAGAATCTTATAATCTTATTCATTTAATCTTAATTAAGGCTAGATTAAAACACACAAAAACACACATACACACACAACTCAGGGTTACAGTAAGGCACTTAAAATGAAAGTGAATGAGGCCAGACGTAATGGCAATGCCATGACAACATAATTCCAATCAAAGTCCACATATCCAACCGGCCAAAAACACAATGCAGGTGCTCAACCACAAAATTTTTTTATAAAAATTCAAACAGGAAAATCAAAGTTGGCACACCACAGCTCCAAAAGTAGAAAAATATTTAATTATGTTCTCACCACAGGTGACATTTCGAGCCTAAAAGCTCTTCATCAGATGACAACATAATGCCTAAACAATTGTAGACACATGTTAATTTTACAGATAAAACAACACAGATTATTTAAAAATGTGATTAACTAGAAAATTGCAAGATTCACATTTCTGATTAAATACTCCAAAAATTGCCCCCCACTTCCCTTTTTTTTATGAAAATTAGAGATGAGTAGATATTATCTTTTGTGATAATATTATGCCACAAATGCTGTTGATTGAGCCTAATGTTTTGTAATATGTACTCCTTTGTCTGTCTTCCTCATCACTCTTTTATTGCACCGAGAATTTTCATTAAAGGGGTCATATGATGCTATTTTCAAATCTCAATATTTTGTGTACTGTGTGTAATAGAATATGTTAATATGCCTTAATGTTCAAAAATGCATTATTTTTCACGTACTCTTCATTATTGCAGATCCTTATTATGCACAGTCTTTCTAAAATGCGTTGATTTCTACAAAGCCCCTCCTTCGAAAATCGCAGTGCGCTCTGATTGGCCAGCTGACCCAGTGCGTTGTGATTGGCCAAACATCTCAAGCATGTGTAGGAAATGTAACACCCCCTACCATAATGTGAGCTTTAGCTTCCAAAGCAATTATAAGAACAGTTAACAATGTCGTCAGTCCTGCTTCAGCTCTACTTGAGCGTCCAGTGTGAAGCAGAACATGTAGTGAATCATGTTTGTCATCTTTTTGCCACCAGTTATAAGCAGAGAACAGAGGATACTATGTTTGTAAACATAAACCCATCTCTGCACTTGTGATTGTAAGAATGACAAACAATATGTTAATCTACACTTTACCAAACTCCGCATTTGAACAGTCATAAAACATATTTACAGGCTCTGATTCAGAAGTGCCAGATTGTCCTAGCAAAGTTGGAATTGCCCCATTTTTTAGAAATGGCCTTTCTGCACAGCCAGCCTTGTACTCTTCCAGGTTCAGGAAACATTCCTCCGTAAAATGTGCTGCACACACTTGACAATTTGGGTTGTACTGTTCTGGGACAGTGTTGTAAATAAATGTTAACCACTGACTCCTAATTGTGTCCACTTTCGGAAGGCCAAAAAAAGTGCTTTTGCTTTCGCATAGAAACATAAAGTGTCTCCCTGACATGGTGGCAACAACACTACTGCTGTTCCTGAAACCACGCCTTCTTTCTTTGCTTATCTATTTGGGTGGTATTATGCAAATATTTCCGCATAGTGACTTAGATATTTGAGGGAGAATTCAATCGAGGCATTTTCGGCCGGTCTGGATCAGCCTTCTCTTTTACATAGAAAAATTCCTTTTGTGGGAGACTTTGAGCTTTGTAACTTTGCAGATCTTATACATGCACAAACAGCAACAAAACACACTAAAGTTCTGTGACATAATTATGCCTTCAGAAATGCAACAGGGTTTATAGATACAGGATTGACTTTCTGAATGTGAATCTTAGAATCAAGTATAGACACACTGGATACTGACTGTATTTATGATCAGGCTCACCTGAATATTGAACTTAGTCACTTCCTTTTCTTGGCACATCAGTTCCTGTCTTGTCACTTCCACCTTTGCCATGTAGCGAAGAATTACCTTTTCCACTGCCTTACCAAGAGTTTCTTCCATGCCATTGTTGATACTTACTGTTATGGCCTTTGCTTATGTTTCCTTGAATCATGCTTTTGGATTATTGTTTTGGATTTGTTTCCCATTGGACATGCCTGTGTTTCAAGCAAAACTTGTGACCTGACTACGATTTTTGATTACTGTTTGGTTTATATGCTCAGTTCCTTTAATAAAGACCAGCAAATGGACTCCTCTCTGCCTACCTCATCCTTACAGTTTAATGCTGTTAGAGTATTTAAACAAATATGTCAATTATTAATTATAATCCTGAGTCTATTTGAATTCAATAGTCTTCATTTATCCCATTTACATATACCCTACCCAGTTCAGCTGGGAGTATTTTATATAGAATGTGTAAAAGAACTTTGTTCAAATTCATCTGTGAAAGAAAAGCTTCTACTTTATATCTGTGCAGTTCATAAGTGTAAATTGAGTGTATAGTGTGTATCAGATCTGTTTATTGCGTTTAGACAAGACAGTTCCTCATTAAAGTACTTTTACATATGAGGACAATGACAGTTATTTTTTCTCAGTCTGTTCTACACGTTTCTCAGATTGAAGTAATTTCTCTTGAAATGCTTAATACAGCTATCTGTAACTTTCCTAAATGTATATTTTTCTTGATTTCATGCAAATTAGATCTCACACTGATTTCAAGGCGTTAACACGGAAAACATATATGTGAAGCCATATTCTCAGTTGTCATGGTATCATATCATATTGATACCTTCTGGGTTAGTAATGCACAAAATAGCACAACTATGACTTTGCCATACCTAAAAGACTATGTTATGCCTATATAATATTTAAATATATTTGGTTTCTGTGTTCAATAAAATGTCTGCTATTGTAGAGGGGTCAAACATTCATATTAATACTGAGCCTCATAGTACTGAACTGACAGTCATATATCATAAAAAGCATGTGATTACCAATTATAAACGTTACATTATAACAAAATCCACATGTATATGCTGGAACAGCAGTTACTGATGTAAACAAAACACCTTGTTTTAATGATTAAAACATAGAGGTCAGTTTGTTTCATTTGTAAATTCAGATTGCAAAATATGTCTGCTGCCTTCATGTGGCTGCAAGAGAGAACACAACCATTTCACACAACCCAATAGGTAAAGGAAGGGAAATAAAAGTGCTAAATACAGGTCATACCAGTCTCTACACCTCGTGTACTTCTCCATCTGAATGAAGGAATTAACCTTGTAGTATGGATTGAGCACACACATGTTGTATGGGCACTGTCAACAGTGTTACCATTGCAGTGGAAATCTTTGTTGGGGAATGAAATATTTTCTTTAAAAAGAGTGTAATGAATGTGTGCAGTAAAATGGAAGAAAATGCATTTCTTAATATATAAATGTCTTTTTTT